CGGAATAGGAATGCAATATTATTAACCTCAGTGACAACAGATGCTTGTGATTCGCCAGTGTAGTTTCAGCACTCGCCTTTTACTTCTTCGCGTGTGTGCAAACATTCAAATCGTTCCCTTATACGATCCATCTCGTGCGACTTGTCTTCCACTGATAACTCCCCCCTCGTTAGTGTTTACAGGGACTTGAACTATGCCAACTGTTAGATGTGCAGTCTTACCTGTGTTAGAGGCTGTTCAGCTTTCTGTGCAGAACGTCTTCGCGAGTCACACAAAACGCACCACACTGGTTCATTGTATGCGACTAATCTGTGTCGATGATGTTGCTTCCTCTTCTGGTGCTTGATCCGACGATGGAATAGTCGAACTTGACGGGTTTTCGCTCTACCACCTCAGCCAAATTATGCGCTAGTGAAGCATAGAGTAATATGGGTATTGTAGTAGGACTTGAATTGGAGCGCCGCCTCTGGAATGCTCTCTGTTGTGGTAGGTGGTTACGACGATATTTTGCTCCATGCTCAAAATTTACTTCAAGGTGCGATGGCCTTGTTGGTGAATGCCATCGATTGTCCAAAGAAGTGCAAATTATGGGCGATGCCAAATAATAAGTTATGAAGACTCAGCACTTTATTCTTAACGAAACAAGCCTGCTGAACTTCTGCAGGTGGGTGAGGTAAAACGTCCAATTGTTTGGCGTAGTCACGGCTAATAGGCTGCACCAACAGTGCATATTTTAAAAAAGGTTTTCCAACATTACATCAAGGGGTTAAAAGAGCATATCTTGTCGACTACCTTTGGGCATTCAGACTGGTAAGGACAGGGCTGGCAGAACTGAATTTAGGAAAACTTCGACGTTCACCAGTTTGCAGAAACAAATTATAAGATAGAGCGCGAAGATGAGGGAGAAGAAAAGGAAAAAGAAAAAGAAACAAAATTCTTTACGTCTGGTTGCAGAGATCAGGGTCACACCTCGTGATTAGCAGCCAGTCATCGATTTCTGTATCTTTTTTGGAAGAAGCGAGGTTCACAGACGCTGCTACCAGTGTGATTCCCCCCACTTTGCTCGCTAAATCCTTTTATTTTATTGTACGTAACCGAAGGGATACGAGCTGAAAGAGAAATCGGATATAGGTAGAGGTTTGTCTGTAAAAGTCACGAGGTGGCACTACTATCCCGTGTTACAGTGCTCCCAGCATCTATTAAACCCAGTGAACGCCAGTGGAGCAGGACACGAGTCCATGACTAATGGAGTTTCATAAGTTCTGCTGAAGTGAAAGGTCGGCTTAAGCGGGGGGAAACAGCTGGACGGAGTTCAAAGTGTTGCACACTAATTAAAGTTAGGAAATGCACGACCCTCTAGCCGACGTATCCTTCGAACAATGCAAACAGATCCTATCCCTACAGTACCCATGTATCAGGTAAGCTGTCCGTCTCCAGAAGTTTCTTGAAGAAAACAGACTGCTCGAGGGATAGCATTGCGTTTAGCTTAACCCTATACACCTTAGATAAAAAAACTAAACCCCATCTCCCTTCCTACAAATTCTTTATTCAAATAACCAGATGCTGCATTGTGTTGACAATAAATTGAGGAGTCATACGTAAGGATGGATAATATAGATAAGTGGAGCATTTAAGGGTTACTTGTAGATCAAAAAATCAGCCTTGATATGCGACGATGGGTTCTAGTTCTGCACAAAATGGCACACAGGAAAACACAGCCTTCAATTAGCTGGAATGTATCAACACGCGCATCTCCGTAGAAAGAAAAGATAGGGATGGAGGATAGGGCGGAGAAGGAGAGAAGGGGTGGGATGTTACATGTTTTTATCTTTCTTATTTCATCTAATCGCAACACATCACGAGATTGTCTTTGAAAGTTGCACTTGTTAGATCCTTTCATCTTCAAAATGGCATCTAAATAGCAAAAAGAGAGAAGAGAAGAGGTGATGAACACAGCCAATGCAGTCACATCTACCAGTGATTTAATGGACTACCAACCGCAACCGACGTTCCATTTTGATTGTGCTCCTCCTTCAGCCCTGAAGGCGTTGTCAGTCCACTTAGCACGCCGGGCAACAGTCCGGCTGGTAATCCAACAGATGCCGCAGCTGCCGCCAACGCTGCTTGCTGCCTTTGGTGTTGTTGCTGCTGCTGATGTTGCTGCTGAACCGACGGATTGGTCGCCAGAAACTGTAAATGAGTAAAAAAAGCAGCGCAAAAAATGCAGATTTAAGCTTAGCTCAGGCTCATTTCCATAAACAAAAATTTTAACGACTGCATTGGATTGGTTGCTAACTTTCAAACCATAACAAATTCATTTTAATAGTTCTCCTCGCATTACCTGTTGTTGTTGCTGCTGCTGTTGGTGATTTTGTAACGCGGAATAGGTGGTTTGCGAATGATTGCCCGATGATATTGCCGACCCGGTGGGTGAAGAGCCCTGAGGAGTCGGTCCTGATGCCTGCTGTTGGAGAGCTGCCGCCGCACCGCCATTACCGCTGCCTCCTGTTGCCATGAGACCCAAGGCCGCGGCCGCGTTAGTTGCTTGAAGCGCAGCTTGCACAAGCTGAAGATGGTTGGCCACTGGAGTCGCCCCTGACTGGCTCACTGGTGTCGTTCCACCCGCATTCATTGATAGAATAGGCTGGTAGAAATGACACGAAACCCATACTAGTACTTCTATCCAGTTTCTCATTCAATGCTCATGATATCTGGTTTGTTAAGGAAGGGAAAATTATTGTGACGTAACCTAAACCTACCAAATACAACTCCCGCAAGAACGCATAAACTTTTGGGATTATTTGCCAGCCCAATGATTGCCCTACAGTACAAACATGGATGAGATGGAGATCAATATGTCCGCTTGCGACGGGGGTAGTGCGAATATGACTTGGGCTAAATGACAACACTCATTTGACTAATGTAATAAGTGGCGAGTCTAGTCGTTAGGGAAAACGTGGGCACAAGACCTCCATTATCGCCAAAATCTTACGCGAAAATTCGAGGCCTGAAGGAAAGCAGCAGCAGGTGCAGCACCTATGGAAGTGAAGAGCCCTGTACTATCATATCCAAAGTGGGGATTGGCTGTCCATTGTGTTGCATCTTGTGCGGCAATCAAAGCCATCGTTGTAGGATCAACTGCAAAGAAAACAGCTTGTAGCCTCCCACTCCACTTTGCTAAAGAGATCAAGCTTCGTGACCTCCCAACCCAAGGTAAGTTTTCTCGTCGAATCGATGCGTTAAAACAACCGAAAAATGCAGAATACCAGATGCGTTTGAGAGAATCATAATCTTACGCAATGTAATCATATCTTTTAAACTTATTTACTTTTGCAAAACTTTAAATCAAGCATGGATATATACATTTATTAAAGAAATAATTTTATATGGTTCATTAATTCATATCACCGAGTTCTTTCCTTCCATTTACGCCAGAGCTTATGAATGTTGCTCAAAGGCAGGAATGGATAAAAGTACCCAAAGTGGACATACTGCCTTCTGATGCCTCAAGGAAGTAAACGGAAGTGGATGCTGCCAACCCACAAGCAATTTCAGTTTCCTTGTTCAGAGCAACAGTTTATTTTTTAGGTTAAATGTTATGCGAGTGGTTATTTTTCCCAGGTACTCTTCTCCGAATTTTTTTTTGAAATTTTTTTTGAATTCCTGATGAAGTGTTAATAACCTTAGGTTTGCAACAGGTAGTCGTGGCTAGTCACAACTTAGATGTAATAGGTGAAATTGACTTACAACCAGCTAAATGCGGGAGAAAATTAGTGGGTAAGACTCCAGGAAATCCCGCCTGCTGACCAAGGGGCGACAGGCTGGCAGGGTTACCGGTAGCGGGGATGAAGGGAAATCCACTGGGCGCTCCTGGCGGTAATGGGAAGCCTGGAGGCCACTTGGGTTTTGTGACCTTCGTGTTACTTCGCGCGAACTCTAGGCGCATATGTTGATTTCCTTCAGGATCAAACTTGATGCCCTTTAAGAAGAGACCAACGCCAACGGTGAAAATACACCCTACCCGCTCGTCGTGAGTAGGAGTGTGTGTATACCTGTGTTTACAGAGGTGACTTCACAACGGCCACGTGAGTGCGATCGTGTGTGTGTAATAAGGATAGAATTTTGCGCACTCTAAACAACGTGCATCGTTAAGTACCAAGTTTATTTGCGTAATTTGTGAATGCTTTCACAGCTTGGTTAAATCCTTGTTAGCAAATGTGCTCCCACACAACCTGCCATTGGGAAGACTTCTCACACCTTCCTAGCGTGCGTCGATGGAGAACCTCAGAAAATTACTCCTTCAGTGATCGAATTAGAGTATGGGAAATGGTAATGAGGTGGTGGTTAAAACTGGTAACGAAGGGAATGCAGTTGAAGCTCGACTAATGGTGGAGATTTAAAGGGCTACGTCTTTCTAGGTGTGCTCGTAATAGGTGCAAGTGGTAATTTGGAATCACCAACTTTGTCATCAACATGCTTAGAAATATGTATATCCAATCGACAGGGTCTTTAATTAGTGTTCGTTCGTGCATCGTGACACGCGCATAGAAGTGTAGGGTGGTTGATTTGGGTGTGACGGTGATTGCAGGTGGAGTGATGGATTAAGTCAGTGCCTACGAATGGGACGTGTCAAACAGACCACGCACATTACTGGTTGTCCAATCAAATTTGCCTCGCGCTGCTGCAACAAATAATCGATTTATCGACCTTAGCAATACTGCCATCAGACCAATGTTGGTTGCGCTGTGCAGCGCCTCTCACCTGTAATTCGTTGAGAGCATTTTCGGCCTGTTCTCGCGTTTCAAATGTCACAAATCCCACTGGCTAGAAGGAAAACATTTTTTAGTTAACAGATGAACGTGCAAAGCATTACTTATTTTGTTTGCCCTCTGCCCTTCTATACAAACTGCTCGTTTTCGGAATCCCTTCGATGACTGGCTCCTGTTTTGTGCCATTTCGGGTGTTCACCCGAAGTATTGGTAATGCAGTGAAGGCATAACTTACTGCAGTGAGTTTGCCATTCTTCCCGGCGGGCTTAAGAGTGGACGATAGATAACCCTTTTTCGTTGCAGACGATAAGCGGTGGCGTTTTTGGCACGAGGCGTCACAATGGCAGGGTAGGAGGTGATTGGTTGAAGATGGTCGTCAAAGGTCAGGAGTTGCCGTATTTGGATTAAAGGCAAAATTAAAAGAAAAATGTGCCATCTCATTGGGTTTCCCTTGTAAAGGAAACTTGCATTACGTGGACAGTCAGATGGAGGGGATTAATAGGTGGGCATGACGTCAAATGACAATTTGGAATTAGTTTTACCAAAAAAGAGCCAAATTTTTTCATGATTGTTATAGAAAAAAAGGATTTTGTGATAAATTGTTGATGCAACCAAGGCAAGAGTTTTGTTTTTGTAGTTATAGAAAAAGACCATTGTACCTTACTCCCTTTCATCATGGCATCAAATACAAATTAATCTTAAAGGGTATAAGCGGCTGAAAATGCTACACCTATCTTTAGTTCTGAAAAAGGGATTTAAGAATAATTATGTTCTTCACCAAACTCTCATTTACTAGACAATTAAAGAGGGAAAATATTATCAAGTTACAACTTGGTACCTTGAATCCTCGAAACAGAAGGTACAGTTCGCGTGATTTCGTGTCCAAGGGCAGACCACTGACGAACAGGGTTCTAACTTGATGCTGAAACATGGAAGATCTGAGTGATGTTGTCGTCTTTTTCACCACGCCAAATTGGCGAAGGGTAAAGTGGACTACAGGCTCTTCTCTCCCCCACTCCCGCTCCCACCCTGCCTCCTCACCCGATAGTGGAGAAGAGAAAAGAGTGCACTCAGCCGATAGAGAGGGTCGTGAGAATGAATGCAAAATTCACATGGCTTTGAAGTTCCTTGTCTTTACTCACACTCTCACTCAGTAGAAGCGGCAATTTTAACTCTTCCAAATCCGTTTAAATCAAACACGTAGTCTAGAGCCGTACATTTCATTTTTTTAAATAACAGACAGCTAGTACAAAAAATGGGCCTCTGTAGCTATTCTGCTCAGATTTCTGCTCATTTCTCTTCCTTTCTTGCCTTGCTTGTCGTAGCGAGCCCATTTCCAGGTTGACGCAGTGTGTATCGCCTTCGAATTGGATTTCAAATGTGGGAATGCGTAGCAAGGCCCAAAGCACACTGATAGCTCATATGCCAGTACGTCAACTGCTACGCGAGTAAAACACATAGGGACGACTCCCATTGTTGGAAAGATGCCGAAGGACCGAGATCTCTTCTACTAAGCTTTATACCCGGGTGTGGTGCTAGTCGAATTCATCCTATCATGTAATCTGACTATACTAGAGCTGTCATTTGGCCATAATACCTTCCTAACCGGTGCGTGTAGGCGAGTCCAAGCCCGTCTTCAGTGGAAGCTTGACGCCTAGAGCAACGATAGTCAGTAAAGGACGAAACTTTTTTTTTGTTATATTTACCTTTAACCTTGGAGAAGGTGAGGATGAGCTCATATCTTGAGTTGAATTACAAGTCCAGGTTTCTGCGCACTTACTAAGTAGCGGCCGTGTTGCATGTGTGTTTACTAGATGGTTGGCATAGCAACATCACGCACATACACGCACACAGACACATCTTGCCAGAATTAAGAGGGGCTTAAGAAACACATTTTCTTCGTAAAGGCTGTACTGACCCCCACTAATACCTACCCAGTGACCAGCCCACCTTCGTTAAAGGCCTTCTAAGTGTAAATTCTTTAATACGCCTGATGACATGAGCTGTTACCTTAAAAGTCGATTTACTCAAGTGGACTGTCTTGAATTAGGCTTAAAACCATCACAGCTTCTAACAGAACAAAATGGCCTTAGACGAATACCCACCTTTTTCCTGCCTTTTTGACTTCAGATTTGTACTGTAGAATATGGGTCAGCTACCAGCACAATAGCGGTGACTCATGCACTGTAAACTCAAGAATTTATGTTGACCTCATTTGGTAAATTGTACTGATACATACGTACATTCGAAAAGGCACTCTCTCGTTAAAGAAAACAATACCGGTGTGAGGTGAAGAGGAAAAGTTTCATCCAAGTGTCCTTTTTGCAGTGAATATTGATTGCCAGCACCTCTGTGAACCATTCTCAAGTCTTGATTGGTGAGCAGCTGACCAATCAGAGACGTCGCGCAATTGGTGAAATTTCACTTTCCAACTGGCGTCTAATTTCTCTCCACATGTAGCCAAATATAGGATGGAGCATCAATTTTTTTGTTTAGTAATCGTGAGAACAAAGATTTGGTATCGCACACAAACACACGCACATTGATGCCGGAAGGCAGATTAACTCTGCGAAGAATTGACAAGCACAAAAAGGTAGTGCTAAAAAAACGGCCCACTTTGAGGGTGTCCATCTAACTTCATTGGTGGCTGAGGTGATTTACCATGCTCTGGTTTAACATAAGCTTGAGAAGGATCTTTGGTCTTTTAAAAGCTCGCTGTGGCAATAATAATAAATTGTACATATTTCTCACGCTTCCAGTAACAAAGTCTGAGAACAGGCGTAAAATGGGAGAGAAACCTCCTTATTAATCCAATTACCAAATATTCCTTGAAAGCATCGAACCGACCTCCGATATTGCTTCTTTCGGTAAACAAATTATTTATTTCCTGCGTAAAGCATTCATTTGGAAAAAAAACTGCTGTCTTCTTGGGCCGGTTAGTGGTCTCTTCTCACTATTAAATTTTGGGAAAAAAGAAGGAACCAAAAAGAACTACACTTCAAAAATCGGAAAAATCTTAGCCAGGCACCATTGAAGGCGATGCCTTTTTGTAAGGGGAATATGGTATTGGGTGTGGTGCCATAAACTTTGTCTTGGGGATTAATGCATATCGTTACTTTCTCCCTCTCCTCCCTTTGTTAGTAAACCAACCAATGGAAAAATTGGGACTACTTTAAGACGCCAATCAATGCATTGATCGCGCAACAAAACACGGGTGAGAGGGTGGGTTCAGTGAGGCACTTTAGATTTATGGATGTCCAGTGGTCCAACAACAGTTGTGATTGGGGGTAAGTACTATAGTGCAATAATTGTCAATAAAATTTACGCTTCGGCCAACCTAAAACTGCAAAACACTTTTGCTGAAGGCAACGGGTATTATAAGGTAGTGCTTGTTGCTGTGGTTAGGAATAACTTTATCTTAATATCTTATGACCTCGCTGCTTGCAACACTTTTGATAATAAGTTAAGTAAATGATGGTGGTATTAAGTAAAAAGGTTGCATCTGCCGACTTCAATGCCCAAGTTGCTAAGTCGATAAGTGAAGATTGGTGTGCCACGCATTCCTATTAGTTGGTGAATCAACTAAGGGAAGAAGGAGGAGAGAGCAGGCCTATAGCGCCTTCCGATGAAAAATCGACTAAATCAACTTACAAGTTCGTTTAATAATTTGGGAAAAATTTGAGCTAAAAGTCATTGAGCCTTAAAACGTGAATTTGATGGTTGGTAAATCTGCCCTCTGTTATGGTAAAAAAAACCGTTTCTTTCAGTTCCTCTCCTCCCCGCCATCTGATGGGAGTAAATTAACGCAGATTATGTGACTGCAATCAAAGCCAGGACTAGAGGCTGCTACATGGGGTTAATGCCAGTGTCCAAACAATGGGGGAAAGACTTGCTTTGTCGTCAAGATTAATTGTTTATCTAGAAGACGTGTAGGTACTTTAATCTATCGAAGTCGAAGTGGGCGAATAAAATCTTAAACGGTTTCATAATATCTCATAAATGTCGCTTGAGTCTGCGACCTGTTAGATGAGACGCTTCAAAATGGTAAGCAAGCAAAGTCAACTTTGTTAAAAAGGAAAGCAATATACCAAGTCTTTTAGAAAGACTACTTTGTGAAGTCGGTGAAAATAAGCTCTATCTATTGAAGTGGCCAGGTGGCATTTGACTGAAATGTCGGACGTGTAAAGGTGCCAAGCGGAGGCAGTGGATACATGCGGAGCGATTGCATTATTCATGCTCCTTCCTCATGGGCGATAAATGCCTCTTCGGCTCAGAAGCAGGATGTTCTTTTGCCAAAGGTATGCAAAAAGATGAACAACTTAGTGGAAGACGGTATCACCATCCATTGACATCATTCATGAAGCATTTAAAGAAGTCAAGACTGCTCATCGGCACTTTAGAAGATTAACAAAATGATGACTATGAATGGGCCTCGTGTACATGTAAAAAATCTGAACTTACGTCAAGAGCGTCACTTCCAGCTGCCGTTCCAACTGTGTGAATAGAATCTACAGACTGGGAAAGAGCCATCATAGATTCATCATTGAGGTTAACTGCCTCATTAGTTTCCTCAACACCTTGATGATGTTGCTGCTGTTGCGGTTGCTGCTGCTGTTGTGACTGGGGGTCTACTTTGATTCGACACGTGGAACCGTTGTTAAGTTGTTGTGGAGGTGCTGGTGGTAGCATCAAATTTGTGGACATCTCTTCTGCCTCCTCTGTCTCTGCCTCTCGGCCTTCAGTGGTATTGTGTTGTCGCTTCAAACAACTTCGCGCGTAGAGAAGCAGGCCGCTAGCGGGCACTGCTTTAAGGGGTTTCCTTAATCCCAAGGCCACTGCGTTCGGGTACCGACTTTCGCGTCTGCTGTAGATCTCGCCTCGCACCAGCTTGTCTCTTGAAGGATCAATAATGCTGATGGCGAGTCGTGGACATGAAAGGAGGAGGAGCCTGTCTCTACTTATCTATCAACCTATCTCCACCGGCCTGTCTATGTGCCTGCACAGCGTTGCGCTGAATGCTACTCATGCACATACACCCGCGCACAAATGTGTGTTCCGCCTTCTCATTGGCCTGCAGTGTCGAGCTTAGATTGGGTAGAGAATTCGATATGCCATTGGTTCGCCATAGAAGGAGTCTATTGGCTGTAATTTTCGTAATAAATTGACAAATCCTCTGATTGTATATTTATTTTTTGGTTAGAGGTTTTACGACCCATGTTAATTGCATCTTTTTAAATAAGGCAAATAAGAGAGTAACGAAACTGACTGCGTTCTGAAGACCAATCAAATTTCCGTTGAAAATAGACACCATCAATTTTCCATCCGGTTTCTCATTTTCCTCAGCAAAATAATCGTTTAAAATATTTTTGCAGTTTACTAAACAAACAACCCAGAAACTTTTACGCTACTTACAAATCAAGTAAAAGAGGGGACAATTTCCTTTAAAAAAGCAGAAGCCAAATAATCGCGTTGTCTTCCATTAGGACTCGCCCTATGAGAAGGGGAAGCATTTTGACAACGCCACACCCTTGCTTCTGCTTCTTGGAGAAACTACATTTGAAACTTACTTATTTGGAACTTAAACCGGACAGGTTGACTATTCCTCTATCCTTATCACCACTCTGAGGTACATCAGAGGTTGTCAAACAAATTCACTTACCTACTTAATTTATTCAAGCTTGTTTAACAATTACGCCTCGTCTACTACAAATTCCAATGGACATTTCACTTGAAGTTGACACAATCGTCACTTAACTTTATTTGACAGTTAACAGAAAATGAAAAGAATAAAGTTGACATTACTCTTTGATGCATAGTTTCTGCTATAGTTACAAGTTTTGTCCACTTTGCAGTTCCAGCTTTTCTTACCTTAACTTTATCCCAGAGAAATTACTTAGAATGTTTTAAAAGCCCAAAGTAGCAATGGTGTCATTGACATTGATGGGAGCAGTCGTATTTCACCCGCAGGGGAGGTAGGTGGCCAAAGCAGGGGAAGGGTGGAGGGGGAAGGAAAAATCGATAAGCCCCTGTGGTTACCCCTTTTGCAAGTGTTACGTGCGCACTTTTGGACATGCGCTCGCGCAATTCCAATCTTCCACCGTTTGTCCGGTTGACGCCCAGTGCTATGAGTACTCAAAGTGGATAGGTGGTGTATGGCCACGCAAAGGCAGAAAGTGGAAGCGAGAGAAACCCGGGGAAAGACAAGTTATCGCTTTTCTCTCTGTTAGCGGACTAAAATTCGACTTTATTAGGGTAGTCAAGTCACAGAGGGATCTTTACGTGCATGCATATCAAAAAAGGCGTCTCCATGACAGGAGTGTCAAGCATAGCTCAAGATGACAGACTAGCATTATTTGGCGCCGAAGAAAAATAATGTCCCTAAAAAAGGTAAGTAAGTAAGTAAGTAAGTAAGGCTTCTACCACCACACTTACTTACAATGATCAACGCACAATGATCTGTCAAATCTCCCTGTGTAATCTGTTGAAAACAATACTTCAACATATACTGGGGTTTGGGACTGTCATAATGGGTCCAAAGTTTTGGTACTCTTGTCGATCACATGATGTCACATATTGTAATCCAGTTTGATGGAATGGTAGGTGAATGTGAAGAGGCGGACTTGGGCTATGAACGAACGGTTGTGCAAGCGTCACGCAATGCTGGCTACACTAGCCTGACACTAACGCTAGGGTTGTGAACTAAAATGCACCTTTCTGATGTTTTATGCCTTGTAACTCTATTATGACTGGAAACTCAAAATTCTATTATTTGTTTATGGCCTCATGACCGCTACCATTCTTCAATGGTTTGAAGGACTAAGGGAATAATAGCACACCTACAAGCCTTATATAACCGCTGGCTTTATAAGTGAGGCGTGAGTCATGGGAAATACACCTGACCAGCTTCTCTTTTAAACGGTACGATGATGTTACTTACAACGGTGAAGAATTGTTCAGCCTCTTAAACTTAGGGCCTTCGCAGAGATCAATCGAATTGATTAATGGAAGGAGGGGAGCAGGAAAGACTGTCAGAGAGGAGCCGAATTGTTGATGCCGGGAACTTCCAAATTAAGATTAAGGTGGGAGAGCTTGGGTCTTCAGCAAGGGTCACGGGTACAAATTTCTTCACAATCTTCTTTACTCTTTCTAATCAACAATAATTCGTCACCTGGTATCAATCCTTCTACTCTGTGAAGTCCTTTTAGCACTTGGTATGTGGCTGGTAACACCGCAGTATCACGTGGGTCTCTTTCTCTTGCAAACTACTGTCTTACATCTTATAAAAAATTTTGGAAAACCTACCTTCAAGGAGGTTTGATGGTTTTGTGCTAAGCGAGACAGCTGTCAAGTGTAAACGGCTGTACATGGCCCATCAAATCAAGGGCAAGAGGGCTGACGAGGGAAGCCTGAAAATAACAGATACACTACCTTCTCGATAGAGATAAAAAAATTTACAAATCACGTATTTTTCACTTTTCTGCTTCTTCATGTTACCTAAAGTCGACGGACGTCATTTGGCCTGCGTTTTGCTTCGTTGGAATGTATGCGGTCTAGGGAGGGGCAGGAAATTAAAGCTATGCCTTAGAAAGAGCTTCATTCAATCCACGAAACCCCATGATCCAAAATTAAAGGAAATTACACCCTCTTTTCTCCATCCAGTCAGTAGCATATTCCTTCAGGAAGTCAGATATCTCAAACTCTGGGTGAGCCTTTTCATGGTCCTCACTTGACTACCCTACTTCGCGAAAACATGGTCGACGGACCAACAGACTAACAGTCTACTTGCCTCGCCAAACATTACATCAATCTTGTCGTCATTTTTTGCCAAACATGTAATATTAACGCTCACAATTCCACAGCAGCGCACAACGACTCCACTTGAAAAAAATGCGTTCAAACTGAAGCAAGAAACAAAACAGCGAAAGAAGCCGACAAACGTACCCAAACGCCCTGCTTGCCAACTAATGGTGGACTTTTTAGAGGGGCTCAACACACATTTTGCCTTTTTATGCCAAAGGAAATTCAGGCTGAGAATTTTGTGAAACGAGGAAGGAAAGTTAACCTTGGTTCTGGATTCAAATGGGCTAGGTGGAAGCGACGAAACTCGTCTCGTCCAGTTTCTCGTCCACTTTTAACACTAGGGATGAATAGGCGTCCAGACGAAGGCCTCAAATTGCCCAGGCATGCTAGAATTTGAACGATTTGTGGATTGTTGAGCCATAAAGAGAGCGAAGGAAACCGTTTGTCACCTCTGACCTCAAAGATGCCATCCCAATGATTGTGTGAGAGGCCTAAAAAAGGCACTTTACGTGATAGGCAAAGGTGAGGTGAAGCTGGCATGAGAATAATTATTTCACCACTCATCCTAAAGTGTACCTCTTTCGAACGTAGCCGCATTTGCTAGATGCGATGACCTTTGCACCTCTGCATGCAGCTCATCTACCGCGAGAAGTTTTGGGCCTGCTGACTCACTATGACGGTACCCGTAAGATCCTTTAACAGGAGTAGATGAGATTAGTTCAAGAGTGCTACCTCCTGCCATCTTTGTGGAGCTAGAAATGAGTCATGTCAGCCGACAGTAAATGTGGCTTCTATTAACTGGAATTGTGGGTAGTGGAGGATGTCAAAGTGGTCTATGCGTCTAGGCGATGTGATCACTGATGACCAACAATCAGTTGATGATGTCAAGAGTGGTCGGCTGTCACGTCTCCATTCTCAGTTCTTAACTGGAAGTGAGGAAGAAAAAGGGGATTGCCTTTCAAAGGCTCCTTCAAGACAGAAAGAGGTGAGACAGTTGACCCTGGCAGCTGCTGTTTCTCAAGGCAATTTCACCTAGCCTGTCAGGATAGATAATAGAGGCAAAAAGATCACACAATATTCGATCCTTTTTAGTGCCGGCGTTTGTGCGGACTGATGTCAGTATTGGCACGGTAATCGATGGCGGTGACAGCTGCACCCCCTTGGGACCGTGCACATGCCTGTGGAACGCCCGCATGCACGCACGAACACACGCACACATGCAAGCACGTGCGCACGAGCGCATGCAAAGATGTCGGGATTAGTAAAAAACGAAAACATTTGAAAGATAGAAGTGCAGAAACTGTAGGTGACATTTGTCATGTCCAAAGCAATTCACGTGTTTCCTTTCGTTGCCTCATTGTTACCTAATTTAATTCGTAATCGTATTTCCCCCTGGTTAAATCCCACCAAATCAATTAAACAGGACCCTTTTACATCCACTCTTGCTCTTTACATAGATTAATGAATTTGTCAAAGATTGAGGTCTTTCGCTAATCCTCCAGGCGTGAGCCTTCATCTACCCTCTATCCTTCCACCACCAACTAACCCTTACCTCCGTCCCCTAGCCTTAGTTCATCCTAACAACCAAGTCATTTAGCGTTGCGCTCCCTATTCCACATGACTCCGCCAACGCCCTCACACATCCGACACCCGCCATCAACCACACTCTTCACACCGACTGTGGCACACGTGTTGGCATGCCTGTCTGGCACCACCCACCTCATAAACTATCCCATCTGATCGGAGAGGAAGGAATTCTGCACCATTAACGCTGGTGCCGAGTGCTGCCTATGCGTGGATAGTGTGCAAGCCAAGTTGTGCGGCAATAGACAGGGCCGATTGGGCAGGGTGGAGGAGGAAATCATAGATGAGGGTGGTGCAGTGGTGCGAGCTATTAATAATTGACCTTTGTTCGAGGCAAGTGGGTGCGCGCCTCACCACACATCCCCCTTCTTCGCTTCCGCCTTCGTCTCCACCTCCACCTCCTCCTCCTCCTCCTCCTCCCCTGGACTTTGAGCTTCCCTTC